ATGAGCTCCGCCAGGCCGAGACCTGCAATCGCCCCGTCGTGGACTTCTCTCCAACCTGCGCCCCTCCCCCTCTCTCCCGTCTGCTCCTCTCTCGAGCTGCCCCGCCGAATAGCACTCCACCGGCCGCACGGACGAGGCACCACTCCTCGACTGCCTACGTCTGTGAGGAAATGCGCGCGGGGTAATGGGGGCTCGCCGTTGTTTTGCCCCGAGCTTCCTTTCGAAGATGGCTCTGGGCACTGCTGCGCAGCACTCCTCCGCAATAGATGTAATGCGTGAGCACTTCGACCGGACAGCCGGCAAATAAAAATTTCCGTGTTAAATCGGGTGTAATCTTCCACTCCGCCTCAAATGGGCTCCGCCAGACCAAGACCTGCAGTCGTCCCGTCGCGGACTCTCCGCGGGGCGCAAGCAGGGGCTGACCAGCGCCAAAGGAGGGATGAGATCGGGATCGGGCTCGTGGAGTTCGAGCGTCTGCTCTAAGCCATCGCGAGGGCTGAAAAACAAACAATTCGCCATGAGTGACTTGTGAGTGGCCGAGCTCGGTTGGCCTCCAACCTTGCAGTCGACACCCGCTCTCAGACGCCAAAGGAGGAGGGGGAGGAGGAGGCGGAGGCCATTCAGCCGCACAAAAACAACCGGTGACACGTGTCACCCCCGAAACCGCACGAGAAAAAATCATTTGTAATTTCGGGGTTCTGGGAGCCAACATCACGCCATTCAACCTCAAAAAATCAACGGGTGACACGTGTCGCCCCCGAAACTGTGAGAAAAACAACTTATCAATTGGGGATCCTGGGAGCCAGCATAACGCAGACCTCACAAAAACAATCGGAGACACGTGTCACCCCCGAAACCATGTGAGAACAAAAAATGCAAATTTGGGATCCTGGGAGCCACCATAAGGCCATCCAGCCTCTCAAAAACAATGGGTGACAGTGTCACCCCTGAAAACTTGTGAGAAAAACCAATTCTAAATATGAGATTTGGGGAGAAAAACAAAACGCCATTCAGCCCCACAAGAACAACGAACGACACGCCCACCCCAGAAACCGTGGGAGATGACCCAGTTGTTGAGATCCTGGAAGCCAACATAAGGCCGTTAAACCTCGCGAAAAACAATCGGTGACACGTGTCACCCCCGAAACCGTGCGAGAAAAAACAATTGTTAACTCTGGGATTGTGGGAGCCAGCATAAGGCCATGTAGCCTCGTAAAGAACAACGGGTGACGCGTGTCACCCCCGAAACCGCGCGAGAAAAGCATGCGTGAATGCAAGGTTCTGGGAGCCAGCATAAGGCCATTAAATTTCACAATAAAGAAACAACAACAAAAAGCTGGTGACACGTCTCCCCCGAAACCGCGCGGGAAAAAATATAACTTTGGGACTCCACGGGCCAACATGAGGTCATTCAGCCGCGCAAAATCAACGAGCGTCACGCGCCACCCCCGAAAACGCGTGAGACAAAAACAAAAGTAAATTTGGGGTTCTGGCGGCCAACATGAGGCCATTCAACCTCACAAAAAAACAACAAAAACAAATCGGTGACACGTGTCGTCTCTGAAACCGCGTGGGAAAAAAACAAATTGCAAATCTGAGAGTCTGGGAGCCAACATGAAGCCAATCAACCTCACAAAAGTAACGGACAACACGAGCCACCGACGAAGTGATAAAACAATTGTAAATTCGGGGTTGTGGGATCCAACACACGGCCATTCAACTTTACAACAAAAAACTGATGAAAAAAACGGGTGACACGTGCCACCCCCGAAACCGTGCGAGAAAAACGAACTGTAAATTTGGGATTCTGGGAGCCAGCATAAGACCAATCAGCCTCCCACCGCGCGCGAGAACTGGACGTCACCGCGCGCACGCGCGCGCAGACGCGTGCGTACGTACGCGTGCGTGCGCGTGTAAAGGAATATGTATACAGACATACATGTGTGCATTTATCTATCGCATCCTTCGGCCCCCGTGGAATTGTTCTCCAGGGGGACAAATAAAAAATAGTTATTCGGCGGCGAATTAATGGCAGTCGGGATCTGGGGGGGGGTCATTCGTTTAACAAGTTTGGGCCATTACCTCGAGCGGAGCACCGTGTGGCGGCGCGAATACGGCCTCAAGAAGGGCGCCAGAGCGCTCCAACATGGCCGCAATACTGCATCAAGGTGAGCTCGCGAGGAGCCTGGAGATCCGAGGATCTGATTTTTCCAATGCGCGGTGTTTCCCGGATGTTGGCCTCGGGGGCACGTGGGCGGGCCCCGGGACCATCAAAACTGGATCCGGGGCGAAAAACAACCCGAGGGGAAGGGGTCGGGACCTCTGGGGCCGCGGATTGAAAAGATCACATCGGCGGATGTCTGGGAGGGCCAAAGGAGGTCCCCCAGGAGCGGCCCCGCGGCCCCCCCTTCGATTCCAGGAGGGGCCAAGATGGCCCAAGCAGATGCTGACAGGGGCGCAGGAAGGCTCCCGAAGGGCCTCGCGATGGCCCGAGGGAGCCTCAGGGGGCCTCAGAAGAGCCGCAGATGGCGCCCGCGCTGGCACGCGCCGTGGGCTCCGGCTCGAGGAGCCCAGAGAGCCTGGCCAGCACCGCAGGGCTGCGCACGCCGCCCATGGCCGCCAGCGCACGGGCGCAGCTGCCCTCGCAGGAGAAGAACCTCCGGATCCTGGCGGCGGCGGGCTCCAGCTCCGTGTCCTCCAGCCAGCCGACCGCCAGCCTCATCGAGCCCAGGCCCCCAGCGGCCTCGAGAAGCACCACCCCGAGGCTCCAGCAATCCGCCGGCTTGGCGGCGTACGACGCATCCAGCGCCATCTCCGGGGCGATGCACGGCAGCTCCCCGCACGCCGTGGTCGACGGCGTCGACCCAAAGCAGCACGTCGCCGCGAAGAAGTCCACCAAGCGGCAGAAGGGCGGTTCCGACTGGTCATCTACCATGATGTGATCCAGAGACACTTGCCTGTGCACGATGTCACGCGAATGGCAGAAGGCCAGCGCTTCTGCTATCTGCTATCTGCGCGGTGCAGTCCACAGATTCCTGCGAGTCGGCGCGGTACCCTGGCTGGTTCATGAGGTGCTGGCTCAGATTCTTCGTGCCCCCGACTTCGAGGGCCAAGTAGACCCGCGAGAAGCTATGGAGCACGGAAGTGCACTGGACGATGTGCGGGTGTCGGAGAACGTCCCTCAGGAAACTCAGCTCGCGATAAATGTTCTCCACGTCCCCGGCAGTTACATAGTTTGACTTGTCATAGACTTTGAGGGCGACTTTCTCGGTCGCACTGCGACGCGCCAAGAACACGTTGCTGTTCCTTGGGTTCAAATTGCGCACCAGCTGGAGATCTCCCACACGGGTAGCCGTCTCCACAAGACTATGATCGACCGGGGGGAACCCGCGCGTCATAACTTTCGGAATGCTCTCCCAAAGCAGCTCGTGGTGATACTTCAGCATAGCCTCTGCCTTCTCATCAGCACCTTCGACCATGCACTGTGCACGCCGGGCAGTTGCTTCAAGCCATGCCCACTGTAGGTTGAGCTCCGCGCACAGACCATCTGGATCGTCGCTGGGGTCGAGTATCACCATGTCGGCGCCCAAGGGGAGGAGCACGTCGTGGCGTGCCATGAGCATCTCCACGTACTCCCGGTTCATGTTGCCAGGGATCTCGAGCAGCTGCAGAAGGGCCACACGAAAGTTGTTGTGCGGCTCGATCTGCCTCAACAGGTTCTTTAGCATGCGCTTCTCGTACTGCGTTTCGAATGTGCACGGCACCAGCAAGTGGGTGCACCCAGACACCAGCGACGCGATCTCCATGGCGTCCCAGTGACCCTCATGGGCGGCGTCCGGCGCAACAAGCCTGCCTGGCTTGTGCGGCGAGCCCCACGGCACCAGGGTCGCGAACGCGAAGTCCTCGGGGAGCTGCGAAGCCATGCGGGTAACATAACTCTCCACGATGCTTCGGCTGGACGCGGGCGGCAGCCGGCCCGCTCTGGTGCTGCTCATGGCTCAACGCCTGACTTGCACTACGAAGTGGCGCAGCTCAACGCTACACAGCGCAGGGCCTTCACCTGGAGCACCCTAGCGCCAGAATGGCTCGGAAATGCAGCCAGCACTGAGGTGGGAGCACGTTCATGAATAAATTGCCAAGAAAACTCAAGCGAAATCGCCGCTGTACCGTGCTGGATCAGGCGGTCTAGGGCCCCCCGTCCCCATGGAGGACTCTTGTGTGGTCAATGTTCACTTTTATTTGAACCTTCTAGGGATAACAGCTCGGGAACAATGTTGAACATGGGCAGACGTCACATTCAAAGCCGTATTCAAGGATACTTTCACCTGAAAGGATGCTGCTGTGAGTGTTGCGTGCGCCGCGGGCATGTGCATACGAATGGCGCTCGACAGACGCATTTCACTTGTCGTGGAAAGGACAAGGTGGTCAAAGCGCGCACACTGAATTGGCAACGACGTGTGATAACTGCAACGTCGATATGAAGACGAGTGGGCATGCACGATGTGCAAACAACTGGTATGCTTGCCCAAATCAAGCACGCATCGCCCGTGATTTGCGCAAGTCATATCTCCAGCGTGACACGGAATGTCAGCACTCCCTTGCAAATCAGGGTCCGAAGAGTTCACGCCAACGTCGTCGCGCGTACGTGCCGAAATCCGCCGGCCCCCTTGTGGGGCCACCAGGCTGTAGGCCAGGAATTCGCAGTTTCCTGTGCCAGTTGCAGCTTCCAGTTTTCACTGTTACAGTTCTGCTTCGTGCTGCTTACTGTTCCTTGTTGACTTCTTGCTGCTTACTGTTCCGTGTTGATGGACCGCGCGAGGAGGGGTGGCCCAAAACGAGCATTTTTACCACGGATAAATCGTATGCTCTGAATTGCTGGGGTGGGTAAGAATTAACACCCCTCACGCAGATCGGCGGGGTCAGGGTCCAAAAACACATGGGATTTGCCACATTTCCAAAATTCGGTGGCACCCCTCACGCAGAACGGCGGGGTCAGGGTCCAAAAACAAAAGGGGATTTGCCACATTCCTGAAATTCGGTGGCACCCCTCACGCAGATCGGCGGGGTCAGGGTCCAAAAACACATGGGATTTGCAACATTTCAGAAATTCGGTGCACGCAGATCGGCAGGGTCAGGGTCCAAAAACAAAAGGGGATTTGCCACACTTATGAAATTCGGTGGCACCCCTCACGCAGATCGGCGGGGTCAGGGTGCAAAAACACACGGGAGTTGCAAAATTTCTGAAATTCGGTGGCACCCCTCACACCAAAAACGCATGGGATTTGCCACATTCCTGAAATTCGGCGGCATTCGGCGGCACCCCTCATTCAGATCGGCAGGGTCAGGGTCCAGAAACACAAGGGATTTGCCACATTTCTGAAATTCGGCGGCACCCCTCACGCAGATCCGCAGGATCAGGGTCCAAAAACACATGGGATTTGCCACATTTCTGAATTCGGCGGCACCCCTCACGCAGATCCGTATGGTCAGGGTCGAAAAACAAACAGGTCCCGACATTGCTTCACGGCGAAGCCAAAGCCTGATGCTTCGCTCTTCCATGGCCCATTCTCCGAGAGAGGGGGCCGGCGGCAGGGGGCGAAGCCCTTACGGATCCTCGATCTTCTAGGGTTGGAAGCGGGAAAGCGTGAGAAGGCGAAAAACATAAGAACAACCATGGGAGGTCAACGATTTTACCCTCTTTGGGCTCTCTCGGGACGGCTCTCGCAGCTCTCTTAGGCTGTTCTTGGAGCCTCGTCGGGGTCTTTGTGGGGCCTCTCAAGGATCGGGGGTGTGTTGGGGGCATCTGGGGGGTGCCGGAGGCCTTTCGGAGGTCTCTGGAAGCCTCCTGCTCCCGCTCTTGGGCCCGCCGTGGGCCTGTTCTGGGGTGGTCTGGGGCTGTCCTGGGCGCCTCTTCGGCAGTCTTGGAGCCTTCTTGGCCCGTTTTGGTGGGGCCGTCATGATAGTCTCTTGGGTGATCTTGGGGCGGTCTTGGGAGCCTCTTCGGCGCTCTTGGACCGTTGGAAGCTCGAAAACGCGAGAAGCCAAAAACATTTGGAAAAAACAATGAAAATCTACGATGTTGGCCTCTTCGGGCCGTCCCGGGACGCCTCTCGGACCTCTCTTGGGGTCTCGTGGAGGTTACCTGGGAGCCTCGAGAGCCGTTGGAAGGCTAACTTGGGCTGCTTGGGAGCGTCGTGGACGCTAACTTGGGCTGCTTGGGAGCGTCTTGGACCATCCTTCCGCATTCTGGGCGCTCCTGGGAGTCGGGAGCGGTACCGGGAGCGTCCCCGAGATGTGGCAGGGAGGTGTGGCACTCGGGGCCGGGGAGGGCAGCAGTATTCATTTATACTATGTGATAATATACACACACATATATATATATATATATATCGGTGATCACAGGGCTTTCAACAGAGTCGAGCCAGAGACGCCGAAACGGGCGAACTGGGGAAGACATCCCCAATCTGGGCGCGAACAGGCCCGTGCAGCACCCCTTGGCGGCTCCTCCTTGGGGTGCCCACATGCTACGCCTACTATACCGCGCTATACCGCGATGGAAAAAATAAAAAATAGCAACAACAAAAAAACTTGAATTATAATAATCGAGCGGGCCCGTGCAATGACCCCTGGCGGCTCCTCCTCGGGGGGTTCACAGGCTGTGCCTGCTGCACCGCGGTGAGCACAAGGCTCTCAAGAGAAAGAGAGGGAAAAAAAAGGGGGAGGAGGAGGAGGAGGAGGAGGAGGACGAGGATGATGATGAGGAGGAGGAGGAGGAGGCACCGAAACAGGCGAACGTCTTCAGACATCCCCACAATCTGGGCGCGAACGGGCCCGTGCAATAACCCCCAGGCAACTCCCCCTTCTGGATGCCCAAATGCCACGCCTGCCAGATCGAGTGTAACACTCCATGGCGGTCCCCTTTGGCTGCTCAAATGATATGCCTGCTACACGAGAACAACTTGGTTTGAAAGGGAATGAGACTGAGTATGAGCGCGTTTGAGGTTTAGTGAGTCTGAGCGTGAATGATATGACTGTGAGTGGTCTGTACGAGTGAGCCTGCGTGTGCGTGAATTTGAGCGTGAGTATGAGTATGGGTGAGTCTGGGTATGAGTGAATCCGAATATGAGAAACTGACTGTTGGTGAGTGAGTCTGGATATGGTAAGTCTGAGTCTGTGTGACCCTGAGTACGAGTGGGTACGAATTCCGAGCATGACTAAGCTGAATGTGATGACTGTGAGCGAGTCTGAGGTGAGTGTGAGAGCTGGAAATCGCGGCTCTTGCTGCTCTCGCCGGGGGCCCACGTGTGACGGGCGACCCGCGGCGGACCCGCGCGGGGAAAGCGGGGGGAGGAAGGAGGAGGAGAATCGAGGAGGAGGACCGAGGAGGAGGATCGAGGAGGAGGATCGAGCAGGAGGACGAGGATCGAGGAGGAGGAGGAGGATCGAGGAGGACGAGGGGGAGGAGGAGGAGGAGGAGGAGGAGGAGGAGGAGGGAGGAGG